TTAAAGCGTGATTTTTTTTACAATTTTATATTAGGTTGGGGAAAAAGAAATCTAGTAGGCCGGTCGTCCAAAATGTCGGTAAAAACGGAGAAATGATCGAAGTTGACTGGCATGCAAGCAGTCGTAACATCGCCCAGAAGCCAAAAACCGACCATAAAACTGTTTTAAACAATTTCTACCTGCGAAGCCTTAACCAAACAGAATGAAATAGACCCATTTCGAATGGTGACTGGAGATGTGAAATGGATCACATACGTCAACACTGCGCGAAAACGATCGCGGTCAAAGAGCGGTGAAGCACCTCAAACGGTTTCCAAACCAGGACTAACGGCCAGGAAGGTTCTGCTATGCATTTGGTGGGCTTGGAAGGGGATTATTTTTTATGAGTTCCTTCCATATGTCAAACTCTAAATTCTGATCTCTACTGTCAACAACTGGACTGTTTGAGGATAGCAATTGACCAGAAACGGTCGTCAAAATTGGCCAACAGGAGAGATTTCGTGTTCCACCAGAACAACGCATCTACAGTGACTCGCCAGAAATTTCGGGAGCATGGTTGGGAATTTTTAATGCATCCGCCATACAGACCGGACTTGGCACTAAGCGATTAACATATTTTTCTTGCATTGCAAAATACCCCCCCAATTGTCGGTTCTTTTTCTGGTAGCCCCCATATAAGGGTACACCCCATTTATTTTGCCCGTAATGAGTGTATTTCATAATTTTCGGATATTTTGGGTTTCTTGAGGGCGTTTTACAACTGAATTCGCTGAAATTTGGTACATTGGGTTCTTATTGGATACTAAATTTCTCCACTAAATATTATTAATATAGGTTCCATTTTTCTTTTCCCTTTATAACGGTAACCCCATTTTGAGGGGTTTGATCGGTTGTTTTCGATCGATTTGGCTGTAGTTTAATCTCTCCGCTAAATGTTATAAATATAGGTCAATTTTTTGGGTAGCCCCCATATAAGGGTATCCCCAAATTTTGGGGGTTTTGAACGCCTATTAGGAGTACCCCTACCCCTATTAGGGGTAGTCCCCATATAACCCCCTCTTTTATATTAAAATATTTATCTGATTTGTTCCGCGTTTTGTGTTTGGTTCTAAGACTTTGTTATAATCATTCTACCTGTGGAAGATATTGAGATAAAAAACAATAATTTTTATCTATGAAAGCATCAAATTTCCTGAGTCGGGTATTTAGCACACTCCCTTATCTAATTTAATTTTTTTTAGAATAATAACACTTCTGTTTTTTTCTTGTTTTTGGTTTTGTAAATTTCTTTCGTCAAACTGCTTCTTTCTAATAAAAATATATTTTATATCTACTCCAATGTTTATTTATTATTATAATGTTTTGTTTCGAATTTTGTTCAAAATAATGAAATAAAGAAAAGCTACTGCTAGTAATTGTTTCCTTTCACATGCCTGTAATTTGACTACATTATAAACTAAATTTCTAAAACAAATTGCAATCAATTTCAACTATCATTTGACTACAAATTCAATTTTTTATTTTCGTATCCTAGTTGATTTCGTTTTTTGGCCATAATTTGCTAGACAAAATTCATCTTCACCAAGAATCATGTCTACAGGAAACGGAAACAGAACAAAAACAACAACGATAATAGCAACAAAACGAACCAAATCGACATGATAAACAGGATAAAAGAACGAACACATCAACAGCAGGCAACGAAGGAAACAAACTTAGAAAAAACGAAGAAAATAACGGAAGATAATTTATCATATTGTCATGCATAAAAATCGTAAATCGTAAAGCTAATTGTCTCATTAGTCAAGTTAGGGGCAGGGGGGTTATGTATATAAACACACAGAGAAAGAAACAAGGAGAGAGAAGAGGAAAAAAGAAAAAATAAATTTGCACATCTACAAACTCGATGTACTGAATCTGCACATGTGTGTATATATGTATTTGTAGTGTAGTTGAATATTTGTGATTACTTTCCCAATCTCTTGGGTAAATTGTATGGCAGAGGAAATGCTTGGGTGTACAAATTGCCCTTAATCTACAACAAAATGGAAAACTTTACAAATCACAAGATAGCAATGGAATTCAATTTTCTTTTAACAACACTGTAGTATATGTAGTTTGTATACAATACATAAATGACAATTTACTTTCTGTAATGAAAAAGTGCATAATGAAATTGATTCATTGTTTTAGTTCGCAAAAACACAAAAAATAGAAAATCTTAATCATTGTTTTCGAAGTTTTACACAGATGTTTAGTTAATCGAAATATAACAAAAATACACTATGAAAATTGAATTTTTACAATAGACACGAGCGAGGTTTAAATGTAAATGACAACTTAAGTCACACATAAAATATACTTTGAGAAAATCCGATCTTTCGGATTTGTTCAGATCTGAAATGTGAAAATCAAAACTTTACGGTACTGAAAAGTATTTTTAAATACAGTAAAGTAAGGTTATAGCTAGTAGGGCCAAGCAAATTAATTCATTATAGACGAAGTTCGTTATATCCAAGGTAAGGCAAAGCCAAGGATTATCAGAAAAAATATATTAATTTCCAAAAAAAATAATTTTTTGTGTCCTTTTTGGCAATACTTTGGCTACTCCTCTTATCCTTTGATGAACCGTCGATTTTTTGCGAAGGTTGCCAGCGTTAGCTAAAAATATGCAGGTTTGTCATCGTTAAGTATTTTGTATATTTATAGCAAGTTCGTTATAACCGAATTACAATAAATGAGAACTGAAAGATGGGACGGTATAAACAGTTAGTTTTGTTTAAAAAAGTTCGCTATATCCGTAGTTCGCTGTAAGAGAAAAAAATTGTATGAAAAATATGTATTAAAACTTCGGGACCAGGGAATGCGTTCGCTATAAAGAAAGTTCTTTATAACCGGAATTCGTTATGTATTTATTAAACATGTCGGTAACAATTTTTAGTTGGCAATGGTAATCAATTTTTAAATTGGAATTCATGTTGTTAAAAAACACTTTTTCTCTTCAGTTATAAATGAATCCACAGATTTTCGGAATTTTTAAGGTTTTAATTAGATTTTTGGAATAATAATATTTTAAATTTGTTATTCTGTCAATTTAGCCATTTAGCTCGCAACATTTATTATAGCGCTCAGAAAAATTCCACATTAATTGCTATTACTGATATGATGTTTGTTATTGAAAACGGTATACATCGTACAGCGCACAGCCTGATCAGTTTCCAACCGAAGAGGCTGTGTTATGGCATTCCGGGTTCTTGGAGGATAAACATTAGCTCGCAGATATCTTTTTAAAATAGGTCAAAAATTTGGCTTAACCCCTATACTGATGCCCTTCCACTATATGTATTTTAATGGTCCTATCTGCATTTTCAGAGGATAAAACATATCCCTGGGAAAATTTAACTTAATGTTTTACATAGATCACATATTGAGGTCTGAACAAGATTTGATTATTTGAAGGCTCCTGTCACTTCATACAATCAAAGTTTCTGAAATTTTATAATTCTCTAATGGATGTTCCTCAATTTTTATACTGATTTGTGGTCAAAAATAGGGAATTTTAGAAAAATCTAATTTCATAAGTCCACCATTTTGTTAATTTGTTGCCATATTAATAATCCTAGTTCGTACCACATTCAGACAAGTACGTTTCAGTGGTCTAAAATAACGTAAAAACTAAAATAACTAAAAATTTTCCTTTAGTTACAAAAAGCAACAGCAACAAAATTATGTTAACTATTTTTCTTATAATTTAATACATATAATACATAATACATATTTTCAAGTTTACAAGTCTTCAATGTAATGCAAGTCCATTTGCCAACCGGGCCCCCCTTAGATAATGTTTTACATATCAAATGGGTCTATATGTGGGACCCATTTGAGTTCTTGCCGCTTCAAGTTTCTGAAACTTGATAATTCTGTTTCTCTAAGCATGAAGAATCCCCTTGAAGACAATTTGAAATGTTCAAATGATTTGACATAATCCTCCGATCACTTATTGTATTTTGAAGATTAAGGTAGCATTTTCAGAACTGAAGTGACTAGAATTTTGCATTCCGTTTTGACAGATGATAAAAAATTTTATGGAAGAACCTGTAAAACTATTCGAAGATATTTTGTATTTACTGAACCCGAAATATCTAACATGTGTGGAACATTTTCAATATAAAGATCTTTAACCCCTGAGAATCTGAACTATTAAGCTGTACTAGTAAGCTGAAAATATCTCATATAGAATCGACATCTGGACCTATTGGATTTTTTTTTTATAAAAAATTATTATTATATTAATACAATATTGCATACCTTCATAATGTTCGCTAAAATCTATAGATCGGTAATATTTTTGTAATCAAAAAGGAAAGTGTTTTTTTTTTTGTACTCCGTAGTCAAACCTAAATATGAAAATTAAAAGTTATAGCTCGATATGATATTTAGTATCCTTACAGTCCTTGAAATCCTCATTTTATAAAATTCCAAGTTGCATCTTATAATCAAATAACGAAATGAAATATATCTATCATATTTTTTAATAACGCCGTGTTCCCTCTATATCTTCAGTTAAGCATGAAATACATTTTTGCCCTTAATAAATTTACTTTCACAAGGCCCCTAAGGATCTCATCCTCTATTTTTTTCTTTTGTCATACTCAAACACAAAAATGAAATTTTCTAACAGCTCCAAAAACTTTTTCAATTTATGACGACGACTACACAAAATTATTATTTGCCTCTGGGCGACAGCAATGAAAACAATTGTAATTTTGTTTCTAATTTGGTTTCTGTGGCTTTCCTTTTCGTGTTTGTATGTGTGTGTGTGGTATCACATAATGTAAACATACGAGTAGGAAAAAGGACCAACATCAGATATTGTTTAACTCAATTTTAGGAATGGCCATCCCATCCTACTACTCGACATTTTATTATTATTACTGCATTTCATTGTTTAATAACTAATTTCTGTGTTTGTTTTCCATTTTTGTTTTGTTTGATTCCAGGTTTGGTTTCAAAATCGTCGTGCCAAATGGCGTAAAGCGGAACGCCTCAAGGATGAACAACGCAAGCGTGAAAATGGCGACTGTAGCAGTGTTTCATTGGATAAGGTAAACAATAAAAAAAATGAACAGAAGCACACCAAAACAATTGATGATAACTATGTATAAGTAAATAATGCAAATTTGTGGCGGAAAATTGATAGTCATAGCAAATAAAACAAGGGGATAGTTGCCTTGCAGGATAAGGATATAAATAAGAAAAAAATATTATTTGCTAATCCAAAAAAGGGGTAAAAATTGAATATTGAAAGAGGAAGTCAATATTCAAAGGGTTGATTATATTTTGTATGTATATTAAACACATAATATATAAGGAAACTGTTTTTTATTCTTGTTTTTTTATTCTACCCTTCTATTATATTCATGAAACATTTGTCTATAATTTCAGCTCCACGATAGCCGTGAATCATCACCCGATATAACCGGTGAAATGGATGACGATGAACCCCATCCTCGCTCCCATAGCCCTGGGCCTGGGTCATCTCACAGCCCCCATGGTACCGGTGCTGATTCGGACAATGAACGTCCCCTGTCCTCAAATCACATGAACAGTGGACACTCTGGGTCACAATCAGTCGGATCTATAAGTGCCGGTTCACCATCACCAGGTGCTCGTACCCCACGCAATCCAACAAATAGTCCTTCGAATTCACGGAACACCGATTCTCCCATAGAAGTTGGCGGTCCCATATCATTGGCCACCCGTTCAAGTGCCTCATCAACGGCACCAACAACAACATCCACATTAAATACATCAGCATCGAATCACCACTTTGGTACACACATCTTTGGTACATTTGGCAGTAGTAGCAGCAGCAATGCCATGCTGGCAGTGGCCGGAACAAATACCGGCGGAGGAAATGGCAGTGGTGGCAATAATAATGAAACGTAAGTACAAAAACAGAAGTCAGTTAGGGTAGTGGTGGTGGGTGGTTGGAGGATCAATAAAATGATTATCAATTCGTTAATGTGAAACACGTGACCAGCGAACAACGAATTCAGGCCTCATTACATTTCAACAATCTCCGTAGCTGGAGAAAAACGCAGTTCTAAATCTTAATGTTTCCGGCAAGCGTGATGTTTCCGCAAAAATAAGACGTTTATCCGTTTAAGTTTAACACCGGCTGACTTTGTTGGCAAAACAAAACCAGGGGCCACAGTAGAGTACACACGCGCACAAGCCATGGGACACTCAATGTTGTCATTGTGATTTGTTGTTGTTGTTTTTTTTTAACAAAAGAAGGAAACAACGGATACAATGGGAACGTGTGCCCACCATTTACACAATGGGTCCACAATAATGGTTGGCAAAACTACTGCTGAGCACCCTGTATGAAAATTTAGAATTTTGCGAAATTTACGGGTAGAATTTTGGGTAATTTGAGGTGAAGTGTGGTGTAATCAATTCCAAAGAGAGGAATAGGTTTTTCATGAGAAAAAAACTCGTCATTTTACTAATGATATGTGTTCGGCTTTAAAGTATTTTCATTTTTAATATAAAAAATGGGTACTGTTAGTTCCAATGGGTCCCATCTTGGGATTTGATCTAGGCCTAGTAAAGAAAATAAATTGTGCAAAGTTTGGTTCAAATCGGATAATTGTTTCGCATGATATTATTTTAGCATGATTTTGACCATTTAAAGGTGGAGGTAACAGAAAGGAGGAACAATATTCTACATCTACAAAATTAAACTAAGATTGGAAGAAGTTTGTTAAGTTCCTACGTTCGCACCAGCCGATCCGACAGACGGACGGACATTTGTGAATTAACTCCAAATTGTCTGAAATGGATTTGGGATCTAAAATCCATATGAGATTTTGAGACACATTTTTACCGTATAAAATTGTATATAGCCTCCGTTTAAATCCAAGTTTCTTTAGACTAAACCTGTAAAGATAATAAACCAGTGAACGTAGCAGTATAATCGGACGGGGCCGAGCATATGATACCCTACACAACTACCACGAAAATCTAACTTTCTGCGGTTCCTTATTCTGAGCCTGGGCAATATTTCGCGATACTCCACACTCTTGACCGATTATAGGTCGAGAGCTCCACTTTGTAACCCTGTTATATTTTCCAAATCTTGTTTACCTGAGAAGAATATTTACAATAAAAACAAAAAGTGAGCACTTTAGGTTTTGGTCGATTTGACTTTCTATAAATAGTAATGTCCTTTAGAGCGACTAGAAAATCTGACAAAAATAATGTTCGGTTCATTGCACCCCCTAAATATCATCTCAACATCACCGGAAATTATAGGCGTCATCCTTGATCATAACCGGAACTTCATGTAAAATTTCAAAGGTAGTAATAATACAAAACCATATCATAACACATATACACCTTTAAATATTTACGTACAACTCTCACAGCTTAGGTCAACAACTTCTCTTGGATATACATCCGCTTCCCGAATCGACGACCTTCAGGCGTAAATATATACGCCCCAGAATACAAATTTTGTTATTTTTCACACAAAAGTCTGGATCTATCTAATCTTTCTAATCACAATTGTTGTGTAGAGCTACCAGAAAAACAGAAAGAAATAAAGTGTTTGCCTATTTCAATAGGTGCCTTCTTTGGCCAGAACCCATCCTACATGCAAAATTTCGAGGCGATTCATAACTGTGGCCTGTATCGTGTTTACAAATTATAATGGACATACGGACAGACGGAAGGACACACATGTCTAAATCGACTCAACTAGCCGAGATATGACAATCGGTATACTTAGGTGGGTCTAGGACCAATATTTCGTGGCGTTACAAACTCTTGTGGCTGCTCTAAGCTAAAATACCCTGACAACATAGTTGTATAGGGTATAAAAAGTAAAGAATCAGAAAGTGCAATTCTCTCTCTAATTGATAGATCCCTGAAGATTATTAAACAAAGTCGTTAGGACTCAAAAAAAGTTCAAGGAATGGATATTTAAAAATTGTAGAAATATTGGCATTACCCCAGAGATTGACTTTTTTGAGTTTGGTACCAAAAATATTATATATTAGTACCAAATTTTAAGTTTCAACATTATACGTACTTTTTTGGAACCAAACCTAGTACCCCATGATATCAACATACAAATTTTAGTATCCTTTTAATTTTATATCAATAAAATAAGAAATTAAATTAATCTTTTTTAGCAATATTTTTTAAGCCCACAACTAATTAGCTTATAAGAATTTTGTTGCAAATAATTGCAATTTGAGCAGATATGAATGTATTGCAAAATAAATTTCCCATTATTATTTCGCAAAGAATAGTCAAATTTTAAAAATTTGCAACCCTATTTTGCATTCGATAATACCCAAACCCCAATATCACCTCTTAAAATACAATTTAAAACGATTATCAACAACTCTTAAGCGTACTCATACTCAATAACCTCACTCTCATTGTATTAGCTTGGTAATAGTCCATGTAATTCAAGGGGTGTGTGTGTGAGTGTGATTGTAATACACTTCAAGTGGGGTGACATTGATTCATCTCAATTTCGTTGAAGAAGAAAAACAAACATTTGACACCCCTCCCAAGCCAACAGGAGAATCACTTACAACCCACTTACTCTCACACACACTCACACACCCATTGCTTTTTAAACAATTAACGGTAACGTTTACAAAAGCAAACTGTCGGATACTTTGTTACACTGTTGGACATTGCATACTTTTAGGAATGTCATTATTTAATGTCGTCGACGTTGCTGTGGTTGGTGTTGCTATTTTGTTACCGTTTTTAAATTCTCTTCGTTTCTCACTGGGTGGCTTGGAGGGGTGGTATTTTGTATCATTTGTGTGCATTTTTGTTGTAAATAAACATTCTTAAGTGGTCTAATGATATGTCGTTAATACTGCAACAATTAGCTTTTTGTTTAAATCCAGCCACACCACACCACCTTCAACGTGTATTAGAGGGTTATTTTTATCGTTTATTTGGTTGGTACTTAAAAGTGCCGGTCATTATTGTAAATTTATTTTGTTCGACTAAACGTAACAGGAAGGGGATAAGGAAGGAAGGAAGTTTGTAATGTTTCTTTTTTATTTAACTTGCTGTTGAATATTCATTACAAACTCTCTTTTGTGTGCGAAAATTGAAAAAAAGAGGAAGAAATTCATTAGCTGAAGTAGCTATTTAAACAATAAAAAAATAATTTAGCAGGAAGGTAGATTGTTTATGGATATTTTTGCGTGGGATAAGGGCGATAATTGGCCAGTCTCAAATTTTTTACAGGATTATAATATTTCGCATTTTGCTGATTCGTGGAGAAAATTGTCACCCCACAAGTTTTTAGCACAAAATATCAATGTATGTTTGGAAAAAAAATCATAAAATATAGTTTTATTATTTTAATTAACTCATAACAAACAAATGATTTATGTGACAGTCCGCACAATAGTTTATTTATATTAGAAAAACATTTCGTGAATAAATTAAACCATCGACCATATTACAATACAATCAATGTGATTGTCAAGTTATAAAAAAGGGGATCAATATTATCAGACATAGACTCAGACATATGTATGTAGTCACTCTTGTGTTCATCAATCGTAGAGTGTTTGTGGTTTGGTTTTTTTACAAAATAACTGTTTTTTGTTGCTGAGAGTCATTAAATTTGGCAGCATCATTTTGTCATGATTCGATGGCAATTCTTTTTCCTGCCTACAACTACTACAACAAAACAATGGAACATATTTTTGCCTTTTGGCTACGCATCTCCGGTTGATGACTGGGCTGACGCCTGCCGTTTTGTTCTCGTTTTTTTGGTTTTGTTTTCGTTTTTGGTTGCAATGTCCTGTCGTGTTTTGTTTTGGTTATTATGTTGAGTTTTTTTCAGTGGCTTCTGTTGTGAGTGTGTTGGATGGTTGGCTAGGTCTTCCTGTTGGTTTTTGTTTTTACACTGACTTGGCTCCCCACTGTGCAACCCAAAGGCGTTAAGTTGGTAATATATATATATTTTATTTGTATATTCGGTGTCACTCCAATCAACAACATAAACCATACGCATCACATCCGATTTGTTTGTGTGTATGTATATCATTAATGAATTGTTCTGTCATCCATCCGAATATCCCGATCCATATGTACATATTTAGTTATGGACAATTTAATTCGTTGTTTGCAAATGTTCATTGTGAATGTGTTCGTGTGGGTGTGTGTGTGTGTTATATGACAATTGTGTTACCATTTCCATTTCAATGTTATAATAATTTTTGGGGTGTACAACATGTTGTGTGACAAATGCCATGGTTGGATGGTTGGAAAAAATTGGGTGTTATCATCGCTTATTGATGAGGAGGATTTGTTTATCATTAAATATAAGTGTTTTGATTCTCCACTAAAAGAAACACAGCAGTGGGTGGTATGGATTAATTTGGCGCGTGGGGTACTTTTTTAATATCTTCAGAATTGGAAAATTGGGCAATAATAGTAAACATAACCATAACTGGAAAAAGAAATCTATTATGAAAATGTCGATAAAATCGGAGAAATGATCGAAGTTAACCGGTATGTTAGCAGTTTTAACATAATCCAGGAGCTAAAAATCGACCATAAAACTATTTTAAACTATTTACAAAAAGCTGGATTCAAACAGAATCTCGATATTTGAGAGCCACACAAATTAATAGAAAAAATAGGATCGATCGAATTTCCATCTTCGAAGCCCTGGCCAAACGGAATGAGAAAGACCTATTTTTCTTAAACTGATGGTGACTAGAGATGAGAAATGGATCACATACGATAACGCTGTGCGAAAACGATTGTGGTCAAAGAGCAGTGAAGCACCTCAGACGGTGGCCAAACCAGGACTAACGGCCAGGAA